TCCTTTCAATGTGCACGAATCCATGCACTGGGGCACTAGTTAATTAATAAGCTGAGAGGTAGTCTATAATATGGTGATCAAACTCAAGGAAATCAGAGTTAAAACAGCCAACATTTTAATCCCAGTCACACCACCTATGAGACCTTACTAACCATTTTAAACCTCAGTTTCCTCATTGTAAAGAGGATAACAGCCCCACAGAGTTACAGAGAGGATTAAGGGAGATAACTTATATACCTGGCACTTAGCACGTGTCTACTGTTAATTATTAAACATATTGGGTTATTGCATATTACACAAAACACTAAAAATTAACACAGGCTTACACAAAAACAGTAACAAAATTATTTTGCTGTTCAAATCCTTAAGATGCTCTTACTTAAGTAAACTGGCAAAGAATATCATTCAAGAGTTTTAATGATAGAGTGCACTCACTGAGTTAGGGCAGTATCTTTTCATGAGTTCATTGATGGCGATGTCATTCTTATGTAGTTTAGGGCCTGTGTGGTACCATCCAACTATTCTTTCTCTGGCTGGAAAGGAAAAAAAATTAAGTGGGTTTGAATTGTTAAAGATAATTCCCTCAACAAAGGGTAAGAACTCCAGTTATTATGCTCTCTAGCCTTTTCAGAATTTAAGACATCTATTTTAAACGTTGACTTATAAAATGTAAAACTCAAGAGAATTTTCAGAAAATAAGCAGCAAGGGAAATCCAGGCATCCACATCTCAGACTAGTTTAGGAGACCAGTCAACAATGAAAGCAACCAGAAAATAATTCTAAGGCAACACATAAATGTGGGTTCATGTCACATAGACTGCAATTGTAAGTGTTACAGGAATAAACATTTTCAAAGCAACGTGGTTGCTGTAATGAAATAAAATGAAAATAATACACATGAAGAGATATACTTATCCTGGTGGCACTAAAGCTCTAGGGGCAGGTGGATTTTATTTGATAGTTCTTTGGATTTCTGCTGCAGAGGGCTACCTCTCTCCCCTAAAACTTAGGTGGTCTTAACTTGCTTTTCTAGTTTCTTATTTATTCTTCCTCATTCTTCTACAAACACTAGTCTTACTGAAGTCTAGCTAAGGAAAGGGCCCTTGACATTAATCAAAGAAAAGGGAATATTTAAAAAAGAAAAAATGTTGCACACACACTTAAAGATAATGTAAATCAATGCCACAAGATCTTACACACACACACACACACACACACACACACACACGACATACCATTGACCTTCTTACATGTTTTCCAAATAATCATGGTCTAAAAACCAGACGGAATCATCTTTGTCATCTTCATCAAAAGGGACTAAAGAGGGGAAAAAAAAGCAATATTTATTTTAGGTAGAATTCTAGAGCACAGGTCATAATCAGAGACCCCTAGGCCAGATATCCGCAGAGGTGGGTTTGTCCAACACAGTATTGCAATTATTTTTGAATTGCTCTCATTAACAACTAGGAAACTTCACCTAAAAATCCAGACTCTGGCTTCTCTTGAAAAATCAGACCTGCCGACAACTGGCTAGAGCCAGGTAGAGGCTGAACCCTTTAAAACGGACCTGCTGAAAGCCCCATCACTTCCTAATATTTTCCATTTGGCAACTAACACTATCTGGTCCTTTTAGACACTGGAGTCAGTTACCCTTAGTCCAGGGGTCATGCCAACAATTATTTTGTTTTTTGTTGTTGTTGCTTTAATCATAACATACATTGAAATGTTCTTATAAAGATTCATGAAACAGAATAAAAGGGTAATGGTCTCCATCTCTCCTTTGCTAACCCATAACCGGTTAATAGTTAGTGCATAGGTTTACAAACGACAACAATTACCTATTTTTACACATAAAGTTTTACTAGACCACAGCTGCCATTTGTCTACATACTGTCTATAGTTGCTTTCCTGCTACAATAGCAGAGCTGGGCAGTTGCAATGGAGACTGTATGGTCTGCAAGTTTAAAATATTTATTACCCACTTTAGTGTGTAGCCTTTAGCCTCTCTTTTCATACCACAGCAATTCTTAATTAGAAGGTTTGCAGTAAAAAATGGAAAACACAAAATGTCGCTGTTAATTTTAAAGTTAATTGACATTTTAACCATGCTCAGAAAATGTAAAATTTGTTTTTTACCTGCAAAACTGTTAGATACATCCAGTACTTTCTTTTGCCATGACCCCAAAAGCACACCAACAACACGCTTCTGGTTTCCAACCTTGCCTATTCTGAATGAGAAAGGAGAAGGTCAGTCTAATAGGTACACAGAGGATGTGCCAACAAGTAGATACTCAACAGGAAATATTCATGTCAGATACAACTGAGTGAGTTTACCTGGAAACTAATCCCACTAAACAAATGTAATAGTCAGGTTACTCCTTAACATTAATTTCTAATAAATATAATGAGTAATTTATGAACTTTTTACACTGGCAGTTTTTACTCATTGTTAACTGGAAAGTAACATAAGCTTGGAAAAAATCTCAAACTTTATACAAATTTTAAATGGAGAAAATGAAAACTCCCTATCTTAAGAGTTTTAAAATGTTATTTGGTTGATGTTTGAAAAACATATTGAAGTTATGTCACCACATTTAATTTTATCTTTTTCTTTGCAGCTTACCTTTGTCTTTTATCTATTTATTTGTTTTTTTTTTCTATTTTATTCTTTTTTTAAATTCTTTATTGTTTAAAGTATTACCTAAGTCTCCTTTTCCCCCCCATTGACCTCTGGCCAGCCACTCCCACCCCCCTTACCTTTCTCTTTTAAACTTTTCCCATCTTCTCTATCCTTGAATCTTTTCAGGGATAAAGATGTTAAAGTAAAACCAGTTTTACTGTCCAGCTTGATGCTAACTGCTCTCTGGTACACCTACGCCATGTTGGCAGGCCCCACTAGATGTTATAAATCTTTGAACCAGCTAGGTAGTGGTTCTCAACCTTCCTAATGCCGCGACCCTTTAATACAGTTCCTCATGTTGTGGTGACCCCCAATTTCATTGTTACAAATTGAACATATTTAAAGCATAGTGATTAATCACAAAAACAATATGTAGTTATATATGTGTTTTCCAATGGTTTTAGGCGACCCCTGTGAAAGGGTCGTTTGACCCCCAAAGGGGTCGCGACCCACAGGTTGAGAACCGCTGAGCTAGGGGCTCAGAAAGTGATTCTGACCCAGAGGCTTGTGCATGTCATCTGTGGGCGTTCTGAATGGCTTAATTAGAAAGAAGTCAACAGTGAGCTGGTGACTAATCACACGGAGAGTAGAACTGAATGAGAAAGATTTTACTTCAGGATTTTTATCTCTATATCAAACCTCAGTGATTTTGTCCTAAGGAGCTACAAGTGTAGTAAGTGAGACACAGACACAATGCAACTCAATATTCAGAGGAAAGACAAAACCCACTGTGAAATGAACTATGATTTCTCAACAGTTGCTGGTTTCACATTGGTTTCATTGAATCACATGGTTTGGCAAATTTATAAATGCTTACTAACTATGGGGTTTGTATTAAACAAAGTTAAGGATTCTGTATTCCTGGTGCTTCTGATTTTTTTTGGAAAACTTAGGCACTGGGTTTGCACACTTCAAAGTTAACTCCCATACTTCCTGGCTTTTCTTTTGGTTTACAAAAATCGATTTGTCTTTTACAAAACCCTACATTTGTTATCTGACACAGCAGCTAGCAGTGTCCGTTTGTAACCTTAACAAGTGTTTGTTGAGTTTACGGAATAGAACTGACATGGTGACTGCCCCATCAGCACCCCTAGTATCCTATGGAAGAAAAACAGCAATTACTGTACAGTGGGAAAGCAAGCATATCCTGTTAGGCTGAGCGCCCTACAAGGCAAAGGAACTGAACTGGGGACCCTAAACCTCAAAGCCTCGAGTTTGTTTTTCGCTCTGGCTGACTTAGGAGTTGTACAAAGCAAAACGCTGGAGAATGAATGGGCACTTAAAAATCTGACACTACAGCAGTTGCTCCCCCACTGGGTCTCTTTTTACACTTGCTAATTCAAGTAATTATTTTGTAAAACGTATGAACACGTGTAACAGGTCCGGCGGGATGAACAACCTGAAAACAAGCAAGGGAAGGCGGGAGAAACATCTGGGGATGTTTTCTTATCTAATACATTAACGCCAAAGTCTCCAACTCATCTCATTTTTAAAAGAAAATCTGGATGTTAAACCAGATTCCAGCTCAGAAACTTTCACAAGTTAAAAACCATAGCTCTTCCAGGGCGCCGAGACCAGAATTTCGGTGACAGCCTTCAAAGGCACAGAAGCTAGAATCAGAAGGGCTTTCCTACGAGACGGGGGGGTGGGGGTGGGGAGATGAGGTGACAGATGGGCACGAGGCTTTGGGGGACCAGGGCCAATTGAAGGTTGTTGCTCCCATAGTCTAGCAGCCTACGGACCAGGATAGAGGAAATGGGCAGCCCAATCCTCGGGGTGCCGCCCGGCGCAGGGGGACAATGCTGGGTGACGTGGGCTTCCTGAACCGAGGTTAGCCTGGGTCCCTCGGCGAGACAGGGCCGCCCTCCGCCCATCAGCGCCCCAGCGGCCGCTTCGCCTTTCCCAGAGCGTCCGTGACTCAGCAGTGAAGGTGCCGCCGGCCCCGCGCAGCCGCCCCGCGCCGCCCGCTCACCGGTTAAAATGATCCACCACACTGAGCAGCACCAGGGGATGGACCACCACCTTCTGCACCGCCAGCTCCGGCATCGCGACACACCCCGCCCGCCAGGTTCCGCTCTCTGCGACCCGCAAACACAGGCAGCCACAGCGGCAGGCACACTCGCGGATCCTCCAGGCCCAGCTCCTCCTCTTCCGGCCCGGCCGGCGCCGCGCGGCCGCCGACTTCCGCTCCCAGAGTGCCCCGCGCGCGTCGCTCCCGGGATGACGCTCCCGCCGCCACCCGCAGGGGGGTTCGTGACGGAGAAAGGCGGGACCTGGCCTGGGTGAACAGCTACGAGTTTCCCTCGAAAATTAAAAGGACAAGGAAGACTGATAAAGGTTGACTCCCCGGTATTTGTCCTGCACCGTTCCCTGCAGTGGTTTTTCGCCTCAGTTCCCCCTCAGCCCCTTCCTACTCCCCCACCCCCCCGTCTGAAGACTAGAAAAAAGCACTAAGAAAAAAATATAAATAGTAGTAACTAATATTTCCACCATCCAGAAAATGTTCACTTTTGCTTCAAGTCACAATCCTCCAGAATTTCTTAGAAGAACTAACTTCAAATCTCTAGCATTAAGGCGCGCCCTTAATGGTAAATTTGGTAATTTATTTCATCCTCATTTTACTCTCTACTAGGGACACTTTGCAGATAATATGTGTTTATATTTCCCACTTGTCCTTATATTACCATTTAACTAGGGCTAACGAACGCAATTGGTGCCTACAGCGACAGCATTCAGGCTCGTTTTCAAGTAAAAACTTAGAAAAGTGCTGAAGAAAAGATGAAAGGAAATAAGGAAATGATGTTTTGGTATTTTGCTAGGAAAGAGAAAAAAGAAGACTAAATGGGGCCATGTAGGAGACAAGGACTTAGGCTTATTTGCAGAAAGAGCCAAATTACTTAAAATCCATGCAAGTTTATATTTCCGTCTAATTTTATTTTATTATTATTTAAAAAAATATTGTTGAAAGTATTATATATGTGCCCTTCCCCCCACCCCCAATTACCCCTTCTTGGCCCCCTCCGCCCCCCAGGCCTTCACCACCCTATGACGGTGTCCATGGGTTATGCATATACGCATAAAAGTTCTTGGGTTGATCTCTTAAGTTGCTGTTTCTCTAAACAAAAACAATACTTCAGCAACTTGAATTGTTTACTAACTGTTTATCCCGTCGCCAAACGCCTTTTATCTTCCCGATATTCAGAGGATTTCACCTCACTGAAGACCAGGAGGCGTCTGCTCTTAGCCTGCTTCCATGTAATCAGGGAGCTTTTGGTATTCTTTCTGGGTCTTGCCCGTCACTTTTAGAACAGGTACTCTTCCTACTTTTGGGAACACTACTTTGGCTTTTTCTCTTTCCTTTTAATTTTTTTTATTTTTATTTGGCTATCAGTTGGTTGCTACTACTGTAAAAAAAATCTATTGTTGAAAGTATTACATGTCCCCTTTTTTTCTCCCATTGACCCCTTATAGCCGGCTCCCGCCCCCTGCTACTACCTACTTAAGATAACAACTTTTAGATGAAGAAAATCTAAGCCAGCCTCATTGTGTCATGTGTTAAAGCATGCTTGCTGGTGTTTAGCACCTGATTAAAAGTAGACATTCTTGTTTAATCTCTTATGTGATGTTATTCCTCACAGGGTAGGCATGCAAATATGTATTAAAGAAAAAGCTTGCAAGGATATTCCCCCCTAATTTTGTAGTTAAAGATTTAATAGTTACCAGAAGATCAAAGATTGATTTTGACTTTTCTTTTGTGTCAAGTAAAGATTAGGAATTGGAGTTTAAAAGAAGCATTTTTTTTATTTAAAAATATATAGAATTTAATAAAGAAGATGAGTTGAAATCATAAGGAATGTATTTTCCATGTTGCCCTATTTTTTTTTTTTAATGGAAATGAAATCATACTTGGTACTGTAGCCACTACTGGGGGCTCAGTTCATTCAGAGGAATGCAGTAGGAGATATAAGAAACCCCTTCCTTTTGTTCATTGAATTCTGGACTTAATTTTAAAGGGCCTGATGAGAGTTTAAGATATTTTCCTTTGATTATATATATTTTTAATGTTAAAATCCCCCCCCCCCAGATTTATTTAGCTGTAATTGACATATAATATTGTGTATGTTTAAGGTATACAACATGATGACTTGATACACATATATATGGTGAAATGATTACCATAATAAGATTAGTTAACACCTCCATCATCTAACATAATTACCTTTTTTAAAAAAAACGTTAGTTACCATATTGTACTTTAGATTCCCATCTTATGAATGAAATTTTGTACTCTTTGACCAACATCTCCCCATTTCCCCCAACCCCAGCCTCTGGCAACCACTATTCTCTATTTTTGTGAGTTTGATTTTATTTAGATTCCACATACAGGGGTGGGCAAATATCGGTTTACAATTGTGAGCATGCAAAAGTTTATTTTAATATTATTATTTATTAATTATTGTATTACTAGAGGCCCAGTGCACGAAATTCCTGCAATGTAGGTGGGAGGTCCCTCAGCCTGGCCTGCGCCCTCTCACAGTCCAGGACCCCTCGCTCCTTACTGCCTGCCTGCTAGCTGCTCCTTACCGCTCGGCTTGCTGCTCCTTAGCGCTGCCGCGGAGGTGGGAGAGGCTCCTGCCACCGCTGCTGCGCTCGCCAGCTGTGAGCCCGGCTTCTGGCTGACTGGCGCTCCCCCTGTATGAGCGCACTGACCACCAGGGGGCAGCTCCTGAATTGAGCGTTGGCCCCCTGGTGGTCAGTGCGCATCATAGTGACCGGTCGTTCCGCTGTTCAGTCGATTTGCATATTAGGGTTTTGTTATACAGACAGTCCTCGGGTTATGTAGGACTTGACGTATGTCATTTTGTGGTTACGTCACCATCTCCCATTTATTTATAAAAAAACCATAAGTTCCGTCATTTCAACGTATGTACATATGTGCTTTATGTTTTTTATTTATTTACCACAAGTAAAGGTCAGGAATTGTAATCTTTCTTTTAAATTTTTTTTTACTGTTTCACTTCATTACTACTGTATATGTGCTCCATGTGAGTGACGTAGGTGCTTATGTAGGTGGGTTCCGACTTGCGGTGAAAATCGCGTTACGTTGCACCGTAGGAACGGATCTCCGACGTAACCCGAAGACCTACTATATAGGATTTTCCATATGAATGACTGTAAACCTACTTTTTCCCACCCTTGTGTAAGCAAGATCCTAAAGTATTTATTTTTCTGTCTCACTTATTTCACTTAGTGTAATGCCCTCAAGATCTCTATCAATGTTGTCACAAATGGCAGGATTTCCTCTTTATGGCTGAATAATATTTCACATTTTCTTATCTATTCATCCATTGACGGTCACTTAGGTTGTTGGCCTTTACTAACAATGAATGCTACAATGAACATGGGGTGCCTAGTTCTGTTTCAGAGAGTGATTTCATTTTCTTTGAATATATACCCAGAAGAGTGGTTGCTGGATCACATGGTACTTTTGTTTTGTTTTTTTGAGGAATCTTTACACTCTTTTCCTTAGTTGCAGTATCAGTTTACATTTCCACCAACAGTGCACAAGGTTCCCTTTTCTCCACATCCTTCCAACACTTATCTTCTGTCTTTTTGATACTGGTCATTCTACCATGTGTGAGGTGATATCTCATTGTGGTTTTGATTTGCATTTCCCTGATTATTAACATTTTTTCATGTACCTGTTGGCCATTTGTATGTCTTTGGATAAATGTCTATTAGGTCTGCTGCCCATTTTTAAATCAGGTATCCTATATAATAAAGAGCTAATATGCACATGGTCATCACACCCTCACGCTGTCATGCTGTAATGGCTCAGACACTCAACACTGGGGAGAGAGGAATGGGGACCAGCCAGGCACAAATGAGCTCGCAAGAGAGTAATGGGGATCAGCCAGGCTGCGGCCTGGGAGAGGGACAAGCTGCTCACCCCGTGGTCCCAGGCGCCTGTGGCTGTGGCTTGGGCAAAGCCGCCCGCCCATGGTCTCCTGCGGCTGTGGCTGGCCTGGGTGAAGCCGGCCCGTGTCCTGGGTGCCTGCAGCTGGCCAGATGGAGGGAAGCCCGGGTCCTGGACGCCTACAACTGGCCGGAGGAGGGGATCCTGGGTCCTGGGTGCGAGGCGAGGCAGAGGCGGGTAGGGGCGATCAGGCCAGCAGGGGAGCAGTTAGGGGCAATCAGGCCAGTAGGGGAGCAGTTAGGGGTGATCAGGCAGGCAGAGGTGGTTAGGGGCGATCAGGTAGACAGGCAGAGGGGTTAGGAGCAATCAGGCAGGCAGGCAGGCAGGTGAGCGGTTAGGAGCCAGTGGTCCCGGATTGCAAGAGGCAGTCCGACATCCCCCGAGAGGATGCAGGCCGGTTTGAGGGATCCCTCCACCCCCAGTGCATGAATGTCATGCACTGGGCCTCTAGTTTTTTAATATTAACTCCTTATTAGATATATACACTTTGAAGATTTTTCTCCCATTCTTTATGTTGTATTTTCATTTTGGTGATCACTTATTTTACTCTGTAGAGCAGTGGTTCTCAACCTGTGGGTCATGACCCCTTTGGGGGTCGAACGACCCTTTCACAGGGGTCGCCTAAGACCATCCTGCATATCAGATATTTACATTATGATTCATAACAGTAGCAAAATTTATGAAGTAGCAACGAAAATAATTTTATGGTTGGGGGTCACAACATGAGGAACTGTATTTAAAGGGCCAGAAGATTGAGAACCACTGCTGTAGAGGCTTATTAGTTTTGTGTAGTTACACTTGTTTATTTTTGCTTTTGTTGCCTACATTTTTGGTGTCATATCAAAAAAATTGTTGCCAAGACCAATGTTAAGGAGCTATTTCCCCTATGTTTTCTTCTAGGAATTTTACAATTTCAGGTTTTACTTTAAAGTCTTTAATTCATTTCAAGTTCATTTTTGTGTGTTGTAAGATAAGGATCCAATTTCATTTGTTTACATGTGAGCATCCAGTTTTCCCAACATCATTTATTGAAAATACTATTTTTGGTTCCCTTATCAATTATTAGTTGACTGTATATGTGTAGGGTTATTTCTGGTCTCTGTATTCTGTTTCATTGGTTTGTGTGTCTGTTTTTATGCCAGTACCATATTGTTTTTAAAATACATATTTTTGTATTGCTTTTTAGAGAGGGACGAAGGGAGAGGGAGAGAGAGAAACATCGGTGTGAGAATTGGCTACCTCCTACACTCCCCCTACTGGGGATGGAGCCTGCAACCCAGGCATGTGTCCTGATCAGGAATTGAACCAGCAACCTTTTGGTGCATGATTGATGCCCAACCAACTGAGCCACACTGGCCAGGGCAATACCATCTGTTTTGATCACTATAGCTTTGTAATAAAGTTTGACATCAGGAAGTATGATGCCGTCAACTTTGATGATCTTGCTTGAATTTGCTTTGGCTATTTGGGGGTCTTTGTGGTTCATACAAATTTTAGTATTATTTTTTCTATTTCTGTGGAAATTGTCATTGAAATTTTGGTATTGAAGCTATAGATGTCTTTGAGTGGTATGAGCATTTTAACAATATTCTTCCTATTCATGGATGTGGG